TGTCCACACATGTGTACTTCCAAAATGGCTGATTGCATAACAATCAGGAGCAGGAAACCAAGCTGATTATTTCCCTTGCTAGCTCAGATTTATTCATGTTCTGCAGACAAGTGCTCCAACTGCTACCATAGCTGAGATCAGCTCTCAACACAGTCTCAGGATTTATCCTCATTTGATTTGATTGTGGCTCTGTATGTTTCAGTTTATTACCAGTTTATTTTTCCACCCAATGTTGTTCTTCCTGAAGTGCAGGGGTTAAACCTAAATGTAAAACAAATTTGCTTTTATATGGAATTTGGTCTTTTGGTGAAACTTTATGTTAACGGTTGATTGAAATTGTCTGCAATTGGCTTTTTCAATATTCGCTCTATTTAACATTTAATATTTGGAAACTTTCTACAAGACTAGTGTAAATACCAGCATTGATTATTTTTTGGAGCCATCTGCTAAGTGATCAGTTGAATTCCTGTGAATCTATCAGCACTATTCCAGGTAAATTGAATCTGTTTGAAGTGGCAATAATCCACTCAATATATTTTGCTGAGTCTAAATGACACGCCTGTGAGTACGTAGATTTTATCTTTATGCCGTGCATGCGGCCAGAATGTAATTTTCTACATTTTATGGCAGCTGTCAATGTATACGTGCACTTAGATTGTCCTGCACATGTAAGATTTACTGATATGAAATGCCAGGAGCCAGCAAGAGTGGGATCAAAAGAAACCAACGCAGTGCAAAAAAAAAAGCAACCTTAAAAACAAAGCAGGATTAGGAGAAATATGATTTCTTGATTATTTATAGGGAACAGCAGGCTAACAACTGGGTTGTGAAATATAGACCTGATTGTCATTCTTTTCATTCTTTGAACTGCCAATGATAGCTTTAAAATAAGATGTGAAGCATTTGTGCGACTGTGGTTTATCTTGTGAGCATTGCATTGAATCATAATGAAATGGAATAGTTGAATTTTAAAATATCAGAGAAATTCAGGGTTTAATTTTGGATTCTTAAAGCCTCTAATCTTCAATGCTAATTTAAAATGGTCTAAGATTAGAAGCTTTAAATTAACATCAAAAGAAGTTAAAGTCTTTTGATGAATAATACAGTATTTGAACACCAGAATGTAGAGTACTGTTTTTAAGTCCACTTTTTGGAAAATAACAGGTGGTGATTTCAAACATTTTCAATCATAGGAATTTTCATTGTGAAAGAAGTAGAGGCTATTCAGCCCATCTAGTCCGCTCTGGCTCTCAGAGCATTCTGTTTGGAAACCAACTATATTTTTAATAAACTTAAATAAAAACAAATAGAGCTTTAGTCACTTCTTAGCGACATGGCTCTTCACTGCCAGTCCAGCCTCACGTGGAGGCGTTGAGAGGCCAGCGGTTGCTTCTACCCACTCTGCTTTTCATCATCATTTCTCTCCCAGGACCGCTTTACCACCTTGCAGGCCTTTTACTTAAGTTGGAAATGTTGGTCTTTTGCAGGTCTGCCCCCACGCTACACTGCTTCTAGCCAGTCTGCTTTCCCCTCACCCACCTTTTTAATAAGAACATTGCATGATAATTTGTTGGGATACTTAGGAGGCAATAGGTTGGTGATGATGCTTCGGCCTGGACTAAAGTAAATGTTAGTACATGGAAAAAAAAGATTTGTAGTTAGAATCTTACTGGCCCTGAGATCTTCTTTATCTTGTGTTTCTCAGCTACTTTCCAGATAAACTCTGAACCATCATGTGGAGTGGATGGTGGAGAGAGAGAGACAAATAATAACCAAAGAACTTGCATATTGCCTTCAGCATTAAGTGTTAAGAGGCTACTATGTTGATTGACTCCAAGGTACATAGGCAGACTTGGAGAAATACAGTGAAGTGCTCTTGGACAAGTCATAAATTATTCCTGACCTTAATGCATGTTCCAGACAGTTTGAGAGTTACGCCAGCACATGGAATGGTTGTGATCTGTCTTCCCATCTGCAATTGACGAGAACAGAGAGGACATTGTCGGGAAAAGTATAGAATGATTGGGAATATTATTTATTCTCAACCTAATAGTATCCACATTTAGGAAGGCTCACAAAGCCGGCAAGGTGGTATAGTTGAGGGAAACAACCTGCAATGATCAGCGATGGGAAAAGGCAGACCTGGGAGAGATGAGGTTGCGAAAAGCAGACCAGGTAAAAGAAACAGTTGACCTCTCAACACCGCCATATCAGGCAGGTCTGGCAGAGAGAATACCCCTTTCTGTTTATATAATTTCAATAAGTCCTGTGGAGTCCTGTAGCTCAGTGGTTAGAGCACTCGCCTTGCAAGCGAGACACCTGGGTTCAATTCCAGGCAGGGCGAAACCTTGGGCAAGTTTCCCTACTCCACACGCCTAATAATAATCCCTCCAAAACAAAACAATAATAAATTGGTCATTTTCAATCCACGACTGTTTGTTGGACACTGCTGTGGGCAATTGGCTGCTGCGTTACGCCCACAAATATATGGTCAATTCACTTTACACTTCACTTCATTTTGAGACGGCGAGAAGACATGAAAAGTGTTATATCAAATGCAAGGATTATTGTAATACATTTAATTATATTGCTAAAAAATAAACTGTGAGTGGCAATTTGTTCCTGTTTTTTGAGTCTGAATCTTGCTGAGCAGCACTTGGCCTTTTGTTGCCTATGTCATCAGCTTTAATCAGTTGTTGCTATGGATTTGATTTGAATGTGTTTTTAAAGATTGCTTATAACCCTCCCATAAATTACATGGGCAATGACTTGTTGAGCTTCAGCCAAGGGACTGCTTCTCCTCTCACACGCAATTTGCTTTGCGACTGTATGGCAGATGTTCTTTTGGAACTCTTCATGGGAATTTGCAATTGCTAGGAACAAGCCATGATGGAATGCCTAGCGTGCAAGATACTAAACAGATGCAGTATAATAGAAATTTCTTTGTCCTTATAGGCAGCAATGAAACACTATTGAGAAATTAGAATGCACGTTATTTTCAGCAACTAGTTTGCAGAACCCCTTTCTAACTGGCTGACTTTGCACCGTCTGAGTGTGGCATGGAGCATGTGATGCTAACACTTTCTAAAAGTAAGTTACAAAAGTGAATTGATGCTTTTTGCAAAAAGGGCAGACCCAACATTGATCTTTTTCTCTCTCCGATGCAAATTGGTTGCCACTTTTACCTACAAAATACTTAGGCACTGCACTTTATAATACAAAAATCCTGTTCAGTGCTTTGAAACATTTTCATGATGTGATAAGACATTACATCAAATACAAGTATTAAATATTTAGCTTGTTGTCCATTACTGGGATGCACAAGACTGAGTTTACTTGGTCTACTTTTTTGTGATAAAAATATTTTGCAAGGCATGCAATAATGAAAACTGAATGTTTCCATAAATAAAACAAAATTGCAACCAAGTTGTTTTATTTCATCTTCTGGCAACAAGTTTCTGAGAATTCCCAGAAGAACAGAAAGGTGAGCAGCTGCAGATGACTCATTAACCAACTCATTCACTGGGTCACTTGTCAGCTCACACACTCACTAAATCACATGTTAACTCATTCACTGTTAACTCCCTCACTGGATTGTTAACTCACTCACTGATACACATTAACTCTCACTCCTTAACTTGCTCACTGACTAGCTCACTCATAGAGTTAACTCATTCATTGAATCACTCACTCACTCACTTGTTAACTCATTTACTTACTGACTCACTTGCTAACTCCTGTAGCTCAGTGGTTAGAGCACTCGCCTTGCAAGCGAGACACCTGGGTTCAATTCCAGGCAGGGCGAAACCTTGGGCAAGTTTCCCTACTCCACACGCCTAATAATAATCCCTCCAAAACAAAACAATAATAAATTGGTCATTTTCAATCCACGACTGTTTGTTGGACACTGCTGTGGGCAATTGGCTGCTGCGTTACGCCCACAAATATATGGTCAATTCACTTTACACTTCACTTCATTTTGAGACGGCGAGAAGACATGAAAAGTGTTATATCAAATGCAAGGATTATTATAACTCACTGCCCGCCTGGTTAAGCTCAGTGACTGGGCCGACTGCTGGTTAAGCTCAGTGACTGGGCTGACTGCTGGTTAAGCTCAGTGACTGGGCTGACTGCTGGTTGACTGCTGGTTGAGCTCAGTGACTGGCGGACTGCTGGTTAAGCTCAGTGACTGGCGGACTGCTGGTTGACTGCTGGTTGAGCTCAGTGACTGGGCGGACTGCTGGTTGACTACTGGTTGAGCTCAGTGACTGGGCGGACTGCTGGTTGAGCTCAGTGACTGGGCGGACTGCTGGTTGACTGCTGGTTGAGCTCAGTGACTGGGCGGACTGCTGGTTGACTGCTGGTTGAGCTCAGTGACTGGCGGACTGCTGGTTGACTGCTGGTTGAGCTCAGTGACTGGGCGGACTGCTGGTTGACTGCTGGTTGAGCTCAGTGACTGAGCGGACTGCTGGTTGAGCTCAGTGACTGGGCGGACTGCTGGTTGACTGCTGGTTGAGCTCAGTGACTGGGCAGACTGCTGGTTGACTGCTGGTTGAGCTCAGTGACTGGGCGGACTGCTGGTTGACTGCTGGTTGAGCTCAGTGACTGGGCGGACTGCTGGTTGACTGCTGGTTGAGCTCAGTGACTGGGCGGACTGCTGGTTGACTGCTGGTTGAGCTCAGTGACTGGGCGGACTGCTGGTTGACTGCTGGTTGAGCTCAGTGACTGGGCGGACTGCTGGTTGACTGCTGGTTGAGCTCAGTGACTGGGCGGACTGCTGGTTGACTGCTGGTTGAGCTCAGTGACTGGGCGGACTGCCGGAGGGGTAGGAAGCGGAGGCTGCGGGAGCTCGGATTGGTTACTTTCCTCCCGGGTCCATTTACAGTCAGAAGCTGCAGAGAGCAGGAAGGAAGGAAGTCAACTTTGCACCTCAACACTGAGCTCGTGAACAGCCCCTCTGCCGCCCGGAGCTCATCAAACTGTGGGGGGGGGGTGTGGGGGGGTGTCCCGGGGTTTGGGGTCGGTGGGCGCCGCTGGTCCAGGGCTGAGCCGCTTCTCTCCTCTCCCTCTCGCCATGGACACTGTGCAGCTGACAGAGGAGGAGATGGCTGAAGTCAAGAAGGAAGTGAGTGTTTCTTCGTTCGTTCGTTCACCCGGGGCGGGGGGGTGAGGGCGGGGGGGGGGTGTGAGGGGGCGAGGCGCTGGGAAGTGAGACAGGCACTGGGTAGGTGGGGTGGCTGTTGAGAGGCACTGGGGGTGGGTGGGTGTACTGGGGGTGGTGTGGGTACTGGAGGATGGGATGAGGCACTGGGGGTGGAGTTGGTGGTGAGGCACTGGGGGTGTCAGGTATTGGGGGGTGAGGCACTGGGGTGGGGGGTATTAGAGGGTGGGGTGAGGGACTGGGGGTGGAGTTGGTGGTGAGGCACTGGGGGTGTGAGGCACTGGGAGGAGTTGGTGGTGAGGCACTGGGGGTGTGAGGCACTGGGAGGAGTTGGTGGTGAGGCACTGGGGTATGAGGTATCGGAGGGTGGGGGGGGGGTGAGGCACTGGGGGTGTGAGGTATTGGAGGGTGGGGGGGGGGGTGAGGCACTGGGGGTATGAGGTATCGGAGGGTGGGGGGGGGTGAGGCACTGGGGGTATGAGGTATCGGAGGGTGGGGGGGGGGTGAGGCACTGGGGGTGTGAGGTATCGGAGGGTGGGGGGGGGGGTGAGGCACTGGGGGTATGAGGTATCGGAGGGTGGGGGGGGGGGGTGAGGCACTGGGGGTATGAGGTATCGGAGGGTGGGGGGGGGGTGAGGCACTGGGGGTATGAGGTATTGGAGGGTGGGGGGGGGGTGAGGCACTGGGGGTATGAGGTATTGGAGGGTGGGGAGGGGGGAGGCACTGGGGTGTGAGGTATTGGAGGGTGGGGGGGCGGGGGGTGAGGCACTGGGGTGGGGGGGTTAATCACTGGGGAAGCCAGGAAAGCACCTCCCTGTGGGTGCCCTGGGAACTCGCACTGAATGGACTTTCCTTGGGTGCCTCGCCTCCCTCGTGTATACGTTGGGGGGGTGTGTGGGTGGCGGAATATATTTTATTTCAAGTTAACAAAGGTAACTTTTAAAATGGGCTGCGGACTGCAGAGCACATTGATGTCTCATAGCTGTGTGATCTGACCTTTGACAACTCACTTTTGTCTCATACCCACCTGAGCAGGGACTTTAAATCTGTTCTACACTTTCTTTGTCACTACAAACCACACACAGTCACTGCTCTTCGTTGTAAATCCCGTGGAACTGCTTGAGATGCCCTCCTGAAATGAAAGATTTTATTTTTATTTGTGAGCGAGGTTTGGCCCTGCTCACCCCATTAACTGAATTAGATCAAATAATATTATTATTAATAATAATCCTTGCCTTTGATATAGCGCTTTTCACGTCTTTGAGAGGTCTCAAAGCACTTCAAATGTGTTCCACTTAGGGGAACAATGGTTATCCAGGCAGACGAGCTCCAACTCTTTTAGACCCCAAATTGCCAAAGGACAACGCAGACCTGAACCATATCTTCACGATTCCGCCCCCTCCCACCTGAGCAAGTCAGGTCACGTCTCTGGCAAGGCAAGCCTGGCCTGAGCCCAGTGATCAAGTTCTCAAGTGAGCTCTGTTTTCGAGTATCTCCAACTCCTCTTTGTGAGGGTAGAAGTGAAAGGCCCTGTATCACAGAGTGAGGCACCGAAATGGGCCATTGAGCCCAACCCCGATAAGAGCGCTTTGAGACGTCTTGAAGACATGATAAGGCGCCACATCAAATGCAAGGATTGTTATTATTATAACCAAGTCCACAACAGTGTTTCTCCCCACTCGTATACGCCTCTTAGCCCTTCTGCCTCAGGTATGCATCAGGTTTGCTCTTAAATATGTTGGTCAAATCCAAGGATTTTCTTTTAAGCTGCATTATTTTAGTCCCTAGTTTTATTAGTATTTCTCTTCAGGTGTATTTATGTATTCTATTCAATGAATGTTTGTTGTACGCACAGAGATCTCTATAGAGCAACCTTTAATCACTGAACTTTCATGAAAGTATGGTGATTTTTCTTGGAGTATATATCTTATTACGCACCTGCTGAAATTTGCATGCCAATCATCAGAAGAGAAGCTCACCTTTGAACAGTGGCCTTGTGGGCGAGGTATCCATTGGAACCATACTGCAATAGAAGGAAAATTACTCAATTGAGGAGAGAACAGTATATTTAAATCTTATGAAGGCAAAAAAAATCTAGATGAGAAATGAAGACCGCAAATTCACTAACTAAAAATGATTCATTGGATTGCATCCTGCAAACACAAATATGAGTTGGTGGTCAGGAGAGCTCAGAGGCAGGGAACCAAATACAATGAAAGTTTGAATTAAAGATGTGAAAAGATTTGTTTTCTTTTTAAAAGAAAGCAAACCATGTAAATAAGCATGCATATTATGCCATACAGGAAAGAATATCTGTAGCAAGTGTTTTTTCTACAAAAGAGATATTTGAGATCTGAGAAAGCAGGAGGCAGAGAAGAGATGAACAGAAAAAGATAATTGTAAACTCTTCAGCACTACAATCACTGAATACATTTTATTAATGTACTGATCGGGTGGCAGGAGGCGACAATCACAAGTGGTGAATTGTAGGGTGTCTTCAGATTAGAAGATATACGCTAGTTTGAAAAAGTATTATTTATATCCACTGGTTTTACTGCTTTATACAAGAATTGGAAAAATCTTCGTTTCCTTTCAGATTGTGCAATAACATTGTTAATAAACTGTTCTAAATCAGGAAGAGTAAGCTATACCTTACAACTTGGAACTTCAGAGCTATAATTGCTAGGATTGAGCACAATATACCCAGAAAAGGAACTTTAGAGATTAGTCTCTTTAGCATGATCTTACTGGTGCTTTCATGCAAACAGGAAATATATTTTAAGTGTTAAATGCACCCGTTTCCTATTTTAACAAAGACTGTTTTTATTCTTGACTTAAAATTCACGCAAGTCATTTGGTCAGTTTATAGCCACAGTGGATTTAACCTGTACAATATTTTAAAAATTGTATTACTGATCGTACAGTATTTGGTATTTGAAAGATGCTGCATTCAGCAAGGTTCAAAGGAAATCCCACTAAAATGTTTAATCAATGTGGGTGGTTACTATAAATAACAGCCGCATTACTAATTCTAAGCTTAATGTAGGTTTGGTTTAAATATAATGTTTAATTCCTCTTCTCTATGAGGTTAGCCAAACATTTAGCTTTATTAAACTTGACTAACCAATATATTGGGATTAAATGGTTGCACTGTGGTTTTTTGAAAAATCAACTTCACATTTAGTCATTAACTTCTGAAATGAAGTGCCTCTTACAATGATATTCACCTGCCTTGTTGAAGCACTCAAAGGGAAATTGACATCAGTTGAAGGCAATAGTTTTTCCACAAAGTACAATATTGGCATGGACACCATATTTGTTTCAGAAATGCTGTCTTTTTTGAAGTGTACAAATAGTGTGATCTTCAAATAAACTACCAAACGCAGAATGTACACTTGAAGCATGATTAAAGAAGATTCCATTGGAATTGGTCAGTTTCTATAATGGAATCTGCTGATTATCCATACAATTTACGCAGTTCAGTTGGTAGCGCTCCCACCTCTGAATCAGAAGTTAGTGGATCAATCTCCATGTCGTGTAGGCTAACACTCAGATGCAGTGCTGGGGGAGTGCTGCATTGTTGGAGATGTTGTCCTTCAGATGAGACATTAAACCAAGGTTCTCATCTGCCTATTTAGACAGGCGTTACAAATACCACAGGACTATTTGAAAAGAGAAGGGAGCTTCTCCTGATGCCCTGGCCAATAATCCCACAAATAAAGTTGCTTATTTACTGTGTGCAAATTGGCTGCTATGTTTGCCTACAAAACACAAATCGCTACACTTAACTGTGAAGCACTTTGAGACATCCCCCTGTTGTGAAAGGTTCTTTATCAAATGAAAGGATTAATATGTTAGGAATTTGCCTTTTCTCCCCCTCCATACATTTTCTCTTCCCTCCTCTTTGAAGGGATTTTATTCTTTTCACCATTATTGCTGTGTGATTCCAAAGTTGTCAGCCTCCCTCTTGACTTGCCATTTATTCATCTGCGCCTTGATAATGAGTGTGACAGGCTTTTCAACTGCACAGATCATGATGGCTTAGCCCAACCTCTGCTCACTGAACATCTGGGTAGCAGTTATGAGCAGGAAATCTTGCTGATTCCTTCTCCTTGCTAGGAGCGATGATGACAATTATAGCTCGTAAACTGCCACACCAAGCCAACTAAATGAGGAAGTGTAACAACGTGTGATCAATGGTTTATTCATGTGTGACCTGTTTGATTCAAACCTGCAAGCTTCCAGTCTGTGATAGCTTAGTCCTCCCTGGGTGCCTTTACTCACTGGGAAGGTGTCTCACGGGCTGTTAATCAAAAGCTGCATAGAATAGAAGAGTTTTGGTCTGTGGATTTTGGAGGAGAATGGTATCCTTGTGGTACATACCAAATAAATTCAGCTATTTTTTGATCTGAACAATTATAGCATATGTACATATCCATGTGCAGCGGACTGTTTCAAGAGTCGCACATCAGCTCAGTGGAGCTCATTGAAGCTGATGTGAAGCACGTGATGTCCTGTAGCTCAGTGGTTAGAGCACTCGCCTTGCAAGCGAGACACCTGGGTTCAATTCCAGGCAGGGCGAAACCTTGGGCAAGTTTCCCTACTCCACACGCCTAATAATAATCCCTCCAAAACAAAACAATAATAAATTGGTCATTTTCAATCCACGACTGTTTGTTGGACACTGCTGTGGGCAATTGGCTGCTGCGTTACGCCCACAAATATATGGTCAATTCACTTTACACTTCACTTCATTTTGAGACGGCGAGAAGACATGAAAAGTGTTATATCAAATGCAAGGATTATTATCAATGGGTGTTGATGGCGTCTGCCACGATTGTTCACTACCTGCTACATTTGCCTTACTGAGAGTTGTGCTTCAACATGTGTTGACACCATTCCATAACCATATTAAGCACTTGCAAGCCACTGTATTAAATTATTTCACAATGTTGCCTTTGAAATTTGTTGACCTGTAATTCTGTGCTTTGCAGCTTTGCAGCTATAGCTTTGCAGCTATAGTCCCAGCCTTTTTGAATGGTTTTGTTTAGTGTAGTGGTGGCCAACCTTTATGATGGACCAACAAAATAAATTGTCCTGATTCATTTTATGAAATGTTGAATACAAAAACTGAAAAAACATGACCAATCGAACACAGACTTACCAAGATTCATGTGAATGTTTGCGTTTATGATTTCTGGTTTAAGGAGTCAACTGGCTTATCAGCTGCTTATGGAGCATTGAAGCATCTGGTGTATTATTGTTGGTTATGTTTTTATCAACGCTAACAGAATCTCAGTTGGTACTCTGGACGATGGTGTCTTTGTGCAATTTTTGTGGATGTTTCCTTACATTTTTTTGGTAAAAATGTCTTTGTACCATCTTCTCAAAAAGGACTGTTTTTCAGGTTGGTACTGGCAATCTTTGGGAAACCTGGGTATACATTTTCATGACAAGTTTCTTTTTTTTTAACGCAGGCTTTAGAAAAGCTGAGGCCACATTTGTGTGGTAAAATCACTGCTGATAGACACTTTGACTACTTGAGGGCAAAGAAGATACTTTCAAGGGAAGATACAGAAGAAATTTCTAACCAGCCAACAAATACGAGAAGAGCAGGAAAACTATTGGATTACATAGCGGAAAACCCAAAGGGCTTGGACACTCTAATTGACTCCATCATACGTGAAAAAACGCAGATTTTTCTCATTCCAAAAATAACAGACGAGGTGCAAAGATGTAAAAATGACAGAATAATGCAAAAAGGTAAAAAGCGTTTTCATAATTGTAATTTTTTTTAGTTTTCTTTGTTTTAAGATTCCATTGTTATGCCATATATCATTCTCCAGTTAGGTTGTTAGGAATGCAACATGTTCCTTGGTCTTTGCCAATGCCACTTTATAACTAACCACTTGGAGAATCATTAAAGCTGGCCCAGTGTGACGCGGACTCAGTGAAGATATGCTTGATGTTTGCCTGGCGCCTCTCCTCTGAGGCATAGTCAAGCCTGGGAACTTGGCAATCTTTTGACCCTGAATCTTCTCATTTGATACAGTACACCGTAGTAAGATTTCAATGATATCTTGATCATAGTATAGACACCAACTGAAGCTTATGAATACATATGCATCCACGGGATCAGTTTTCCCCTTACTTTTTGTTGCTTACCTGAACAAAAATGTAAATGGATGGTTTTAGAAACCATGGTTCACAAATGTCAATGTTATGAAACGGGTTGAGTTTCACATGAATGCTTTTAAACCCTGTTTGGTTTGGGCAGGTCTAGAATTTCCTGTGTTGGCCTCCTTGATTTTTCTTGGCCTCTTTCCTACTGAAGTATGAGTGGAACTCAAAGCCACACCTTGCTATGTGCCAATCTGGTGATAGCAAAGGCATTCCTAGCTGAAGCTCAGTCATAACAGATTAGTCCTATGTTGTTGCAAGCAACAATTCTATTTATGACAATCAAACAAATTTTATTTGTGCAATATTGCTTTATCCATTTAAGTTTTTATTCATGAAAGTCATTTAACTTGAGTGTACTAAATTTATTTGAAACTGAAGAAATACCCGTTTAGATGGTTAACCCATAGAGTGTTTTGTTTGCATTCACTAGTCAGGGCACAGTGTTTATGTAGGGCTGGCAGATTCAGTCACAGTTCACAATTCTCTCTTTCTGTATATGATGTAATTTTTATAGGAAGTCCTGCTAGAGATTGAATTGTGGGAATATAAGAATTGTACAGAATGTAAGGCTTAAGTGCCCTTGAATGTCAAATGAAATGTTTTTTTCTTGTGTATATATTCTATCTATTGAGAAACCTAGGTGAATGGTTAAAACCTCCAAGGTTCAAAAGAGCAGAAGAGAGGTTAAGTTATGTAGTAGTTATGATTTCAAGCTTTTAATAGCCTACAGATGGCAAGTGAAAGCAAAGACTGAGGATTTTCTCCAATTGCATTAACTTGCTATTGCTTAAATGAATCATGTTCTGTGTAAACTTCCAACATTCCTGATGCAATATTGTCTTTTTTTTTGGAAAACTAGGATCATCGATTTTATCCAGTTACATAATGTCAAAAGACGAGTCTTCAACAAACAACCTATCCAGATTGTCCTCATTCGAGCCTAGCATTCAAAAGAGGGTAGATGCGAACATTCTGTTTCACCCTGAAGGAGAGGTCAGTCCAGGAGCATCGCTTTTGTATTCTTTCCCTTCCTTAAGTTTGAAATCTGGATCTACACTAGAGAAAGCAACTACGATGAGCAACATGGAAACCATGCCAGCAACATTATCTCTGCCCAGACCAGGAGAGCCAGGAGCCCCTCCTCTTCCCGATGAACTACAAGCTGAATCTGAGGGAACATGTAGCAATTCCAGTGATGAGTTTTTACCGTTGAGATCACGTTCTCCTTAGTCTCTTGTAGCTGCTCTCACTGTTGCCATGCACACTGGGAAAAGGACAATGATATTGAAAAATGAAGATGCATTGCATTAAATAGTACGACTTCTAAGGAATGCAATTTCATTTTTATCCTAGAACAGTAAATATTTAGAAATTATTCACATCTTTTTTTTTTAAAAAAAAGTTTTCTACACATACAATTATCCGAATTGTCTGCATTCTAACCCTCGCTGTACCTTGGGTAGAATTTTCAACGAAGCGAGGTGATGCCTGCAATTACCAGAGCTTAGTGAAAAAGCCAGAGCTCTACCCAATCGTACTGCAAGCCTGGATTCAATTCTTTACCACTATTTATATCCACTAGTGTTGTGGATCATGTGAATTGTAAATGTGTCTTCTGATTCTAAACTTTTTAAATTTTAGATAAAATACTGCCAAGTGGCCAATGTTCAGTGATACGAGGCTACTTTTAGCAAGCGTCCCAGGCGACGTCCGCAGTACAGCAATGCTAGTCCAGGATAAATGCCCTACACATCTTGAGTCAGTGGAATGAAAAGGCAACAAGCCACCCAACACAAAATCTGCAACGACAACAACTTGCACTTATATCGTGCTCTCCACATCGGGTAGTGTCTCAGAGCACTTGTACCTGCAGTATAATGGGCATTATTTACACCTGTAACATTTAAACCCGTAACGATTATATGTAGCTGCTACATTTTAATGAAAGTTTTAACTGAGTTTATTAAAATGCTATTCATCTATGCAGATTTTTTTTAGTCAACATGGATTTCCACCATTTAGCAAGGTATTTTAGAATTAATGTAATATTTTGGTGGAATGGAAATAATATTGCACCTAGTATTAAATAAATGTCTACTGTCTTCACAAACAAGTCCAAGTTAACTTTGAATATTGTTGACCTAAGTTTAAAAACAACTTACCTCTATGTAAATATGTTGGGTTCCAAATATAATATAACAATAATACATTTCACTGATGTGTGTGTTGGAGCAGGGCGATTAAGTTGACTAAAGTTTTTGCGAAAACAATTGTCCAAAGTTTATCAGTGTATCTATGACTGCTTTTAAACTGAGTTTATTTGGGATGTAGTTACATTTCTGCAATTTATATTAAATAAAACAGGAAATACAATGGGTATGGGGGGAAGAAAACTGGTGTCCAACTACTATTGTAGTTGATTAACATTATTTTATAATTTTCCCCTAACTGTAATGAAGTTTGTTTTTATGTCAACTGATTAATTCCTTTGGCTTCTCACCAATTATGTATTTAAATCAAAACTGATACTTGTGTGTCCTGCCCTGTGATTTGTTGCCATGAAGTTTTTCAAAACAAGTTTGCCTGCTTCAAACCAGTTACTATACATGACTAGCTTCACCCAGATCCCAACTAGTATTGCAAGCACTGAATTTCTATACCTTTTATCTTTTTAAACCAGATTTTAGGTGAATAATGTACAAACTCAGCTTAGCAGTTTGATACATTTTTTTAAAAAAATCTCCTAGTATATATTGAATGAAATGTTTACCTGTATATTGCAAACACTTGTGCATGATAGTACTATTGCAGTTTGTTCATTTGAATCTGGCAATGTACATATTATAAAATTACCTTAATAGAAGAACTGAGTCTTCAACTCACTAAACTACTGGCCTGTTTCTGATAAAATATATTTCATAATCCTTGCATTTGATATAGCGCCTTATCACGTAGTTGAGACGTTCAAAGCACTTCACAGATCATACTGTAAAGTGAATTGACTGTATTTTGTGGGCAAAACATTACATTAAAATGTAACCTGCATTATAGCCCTCACTGTGACTTGGGTAAAATTTTCAACAATGAAGCACTTGCGATTATCCTGTAGCTTTGATCATAGCTGAGTGGAACAGACAGAGCTCTACCCACTGTAAACCTGCATTTGATTCTTTACCACCATTTAAATTTACTAGTGCTGTGGACCACTCTTTGAGCTTTACTTATTTAGATGTACAACCTGAGAAGGAATTAAGTTCTCAATACTTTGAATTGAATGTATGCTTTCAGATTGTATTTGAGCAGAGTAGTAAATAACTACCTTTTGCTTTATAGAGAACGTTGTAAGGAAATGTGTATATATGTTATACTTTTTGTGAAATAACTGCATATTGGTACTAATTTACATTTGGCAACTTTATTTTGTTTGTAATGTTACTTGCTTATGTTACCATTTTGCTTTTTTCAAAATAATACATTGATCCAAAAGAATAGTACAATTTATGCAATGTATCTGGAAATTTGAATAGCAATCTATTCATTTGTTCAAATGATACTTTCTTGAGATGAATTCTTACTTTTACTTAGATATTTTTCTGATTTTTAAATATACTTGACTTTGAGTCATAAATCCTTCAAGTGAGGCACGTAAATGCAGAAGACCGCATCTTTATAAGGCACAACACATTATTTTTCTTGTCAAGCCATTTAACATAGACTGCTTCCACTATAATACTCAACTTGCTGCCTCCAAATATTGCGTGTTTACATCTCTCTAATTCTGCATGCACTGTGTGTAACCAAAGAACTACATATTTGGTATAGCTTAAAGGGAATACAATGTGTTTAATATTGAAATAGATTCAGGTATAATTTGCTTTGGTAAATGATCTAGGCAGAACAGATTGTCTATTCTATGGACTGCTTCTAAGGGTTCCATTTTATATCAATAAAAGAAAATTCCTTATCTTCCCTTTTTCTATTAGAAGGTGATGGCTCATACTGAATGAGATTCCTCTGGATTTATAGTTAGGAATTCCAGTTTCATATACTGGGATATATCGTGTCATATACCCATAGGCTTATTCATTTTAACGTAAATATGCGGGCATTTGCACGTCCATATTGAGACTGGTTTGATATGAGTGACCTTGCTTTATGGCCCAAACAAAGTGAAGGGGAATAGGTGGCAGTTTTGCTTTTTACACAAACCTAATGTACATTTTGGTGAATTTGGAAACTGTACAGTATTACCCAAGGAAACCCGGAGAGCTCTTGTTCACAAATAGTGTTGTAGGACCTTTTGACATCCACGTGAACTTGTTGCAGTTTTGAAAGTAGAACACGGATGCTGTGCTTTTTTGGGTGGTTCCCGCTATTTTATAGTGAACTAGAAACTGCTTTTGGAGAATCATCAACACCAAATATGTAAACGCGATAGTAAATGAAAATTTTCATATTGATGCCTTGACTCCACTAAATTATTTCAGAATTCATGTAAGATTATGGTTCTGGAACAGAGGCCTCGAGTTGAATATTATTTGTTTCATTTTCTTGGGAGGGAAAGGATCTCTCAGTTGTAATGAAAGATCAATGACGAAACCCGGTGTGTTGCAGCTCTGAAATTTGTACAATCACTACTCCATTCACTGCCTTTACCGCTTCTTGTAAATTACAATTAGGATCATACAGAAGTGTGTCTTTTTATATAAAAAAAACTCGGGAATTTAGATTGAAAAGAAAAAATTTCAATGTTGTTGCTAACATTGTACAACTATGTATTGTAAAATGGTGACCATTCTTGGTTTAAATAAAAAAGGTACTTTGTTTGCAAAAATTGTAATTTGTGTGTGTGTGCGCGTGTGGGAGGTGTGGGCTGTTTGTGTGTGGGGGTCTACGTGTGTGCGGGGGGGCTGTGTGTGTGTGGGGGGGGGAGACTGTGTGTGTCTGAGTGTGGGGGTGACTGTGTGTGGGGGGTGGGCTGTGTGTGTGGGGGGGGGGGCTGTGTGCGTGGGGGGCTGTGTGCGTGTGTGGGGGGGGGCTGTGTGCATGTGTGGGGGGGCTGTGTGCGTGTGTGGGGGGGCTGTGTGTGTGGGGGGGCTGTGTGTAGGGGGCTGTGTGGCGGGCGCCTTTGTGCGTGTGTGGGGGGGCTGTGTGCGTGTGTGG